CCCCCCTTCTTCCTTCTCCCCCGCCCCCCGGCGCGCGACATCTGACATCTGACACTGACAAGGGTGCTACTGATACACGACATGACGTCTCTAATTACACAGCACCTCCAACCTACTTACTTGTACATCAATCACTGTTTCATTTTGTAACATGTCACTTCGCAAAGAGAAGGGGGAAAAATGGGAGGGGGAATTGACACAGTATAAGTCTATCGTGACTTTATCTTCACCGTTAAAAACGCTAACGGCTTTTTCCCCCAATCCATCTCTTCTTTTCCCCTTTTCTTGTCCTCCTTCTCATCACAGCTGTTTTTGCTCTAACCCCAAATTTGGAAAACGCCCCAAACAGCCAGCCAGAAACACGACAGAGTATATATACATATAGATATATATATATATATATATATACGGGATTGCACGCCGATGAAACGACAACAACAAACAACAAATATATATACGGGTATCCGTCATCCATCACACGCTTCCACCCTCGAGCATAGCCTCCCGGGCTCCCCGGATATCCTCCAGGCGGATACCGCTGCGGTCGCACATGCTCCTGAAGATGCCGTCCTCCTTCTTCCACAGCTCCAGAGGCGTGTCCAGCTCGGCGATGCGGCCGGCATCCATCACGCAGATCCGATCGTACCCGACAATGGTGCGCAGCCGGTGAGCGATGCACAGCAGCGTGCGCCCGCGGAAGCCGTTGGCGATCGTGTTCTGGATCTTGGCGTCCGTCTCCATGTCCACCGACGACGTCGCCTCGTCGCACACAATGATGCGGGACCCACGCACCAGCGCGCGAGCCAGCGCCATCAGCTGTCGCTGGCCGAGCGAGAAGTTCAGGCCGTCTTCCTCTACGGCCGTGTCGAGACCGATGCGTGACGGGGACGGGTCGTTGTTGCCGTCCGTCGTCGCCGTGGCCGCCGCGATGTCCTTTTCGCCGGTCGGGGCGGCCGTCGTCGTCTCGGGCCCGGCGTCTGCGGGGACCAGATCTGCCTGGCGGAGAGCAGACCACAGCTCCAGGTCCGTGTGCTCGTCGAACGGGTCGAGGTTGGTGCGCACCGTACCCCGGAACAGGGTCGGATCCTGGGGGATGATGGCCAGACGCGACCGCAGGTCGTGCAGGCCCATCGTCGAGATGTCCAGGCCGTCAATCGTGATGGACCCGGCCGAGATCTCGACGAGGCGGAAGAGGGTGCTCATGATGGAGCTCTTGCCCGCACCCGTGCGGCCCACCACGCCGATGCGCTCGCCTCCCCGGACATGCATCGACAGGCCCTTGAGGACGAGGGGCAGATTCTCGCGGTACCGCATCTCGACGTCCCGGAAGACGATCTCGCCCTTGTCGGGCCACGACGGCCTCACCTCGACCGTGTGCAGCGGAGCCTCCTCCTCGAGCTGGGTGCCGTAGTGGCGCAGACGCTCGACCGCGTTCATGCCGTTCTCCACCTCGGCCAGCTGGCGCACGCCAAACTGCATCATCTGGACAATGGCCAGGATGTAGCTGAGCACCAGACTGGAGATGGACGGGTTGACGTCGAAGCGCGACGTGACCACGAGGACACCCACCACCAGGACCAGCAGGTTGCCGATCATGTCCACACGGATCGACAGCCAGCGCTGGTTGGAGAAGGTGAGATAGTAGGCCGCATTCATGTCGTCGATGCTCTTGCGCAGCGAATCCACGAAGCTCTGGCGCAGACCATAGGCCTTGATCGACGCCACGCCCGTCAGGCCCTCGCCAAACTTGGCGAACACGTTGGATCGCAGCACCGACTCGAACCGCTTGACCTCGCGGGCCGACGCTCGGTAGTACGACGCGGCAAGGATGAAGAGGCAGTACAGAGGCACCAGCGCCACGGCGAACCAGTGGAAGTAGGCGATGATGAGGGCAAAGATGCCCGTCACGCTGACCAGGGTGAAGAGGTACATGCGCATGGCCTCGGTCAAGTTGTTGTCCATGACGTCCACGTCGCGAGAGAAGCGGTTGGTGATGCGGCCGAGGGGCGTCGTATCGAAGAAGGACATGGGAGCACGCAGGACGCGCCTCACGGCTTCGGCAAGCATCTTCTTACTCGCCCTCGTGCCCATGATGGACAGCGAGACCGAAAAGAGGTACATGATGACGGCCTGCAGCACAGCCAGTCCCGTGTATATACCGATGTAGGTGTCCCTGGTCAGACCGAACTCGTCAGAGGTCCAGTACGACAGCCAGAGACCGGTCATGATGTTGGAGCCCTGCGCCATGAGGAGGAAGACGAAGACGACCACGGCATTGAACAGAGACCCAGACGCCCTGACAAAGTCGAAGTACACAGACCAGGGGACGCTGGACTCGGCCTTCTCTTCCTGCTGCATGAGGCCTTGGGCCTTGTTCTTCTTCCTCTTTCCCGGCGGGACGTCCTTGTTCTCCGCTTCCTCGTCCTCGTCCTCGTCGTCGCCTCCGACCTTCTTCTTCTTCTTCTCACCCAAGTCTGTCGTCTCCATGAGAGTCCGGAAGCTGGCGTGCTCGCTCATAAGCTGGTCAAACGTACCGACGGCGTGGATCTTGCCGTTGTCCATCCAGACTATGCGGTCGCAGCGGTTGAGCACCCAGAGCTGGTGCGTCGCCAGGACACGGCACTTGTTGCCCAGAAGGCCGAGGATGGCGTTGTCAAAGATGTGCCGGCCGACGTGGGCATCGACGGCGCTGAGCGGGTCGTCCATGAGGATGATGTCTGCGTCAAAGTAGATGGCTCGCGCAATGTTGAGACGCTGCTTCTGGCCACCAGAGATGGTGATACCACGCTCGCCAATCTCGGTCTGGTCGCCGTTGGGAAGCATGTCCATGTCGGCTTCGAGGGCAGCTCTGGAGAGGGAGGCGTGTTAGCAGAACTGTCAAAACATGGCCGCACTGGCAGAGGTTGCGGAGGGAGTAGGCCAGCTTACGCTCTGACGACCTCATTGTACCACGCCCTATCGTATTCCTTGCCAAAGAGAATGTTGTTGCGGACCGACGTGTTCTGGATCCAGGCGTACTGGGGGCAAAAGGCTCTCGAGGCACCGAGAATAACCTCGCCGCTAGTCTTGCGCATGTCTCCGGCGAGGGCGCTGAGAAGAGAGCTCTTTCCGCTGCCGACGGTGCCGATGACGGCGATGAGCTCGTTGCGGCTGACGTCGAGGTTGATGTCAGACAGCTTGAAGGGCTCCGGCTCACTGGCCAGGATGCTGGTGGCGTCGTCACCGGCCGTGGATATTCCGGTTATCTTGTTGGCGTTGATCGCTCCGTTGCCGGCACTCTTCTTGCCAGCCTTCTTGTCGTCGCCCTCGGTCTCCTGAGCGGCGGCCTGCTCCCAGGTAAAGTTGGCATTGTGCAGCTCGATAGCATTCGGCAGCGACTCGACGTGCTCGAAGGCCTCCTGCTCGTCCTCCTCCATGAAGAACTTTTCTATGCGGCCCATGGAGGACCAAGCATCGATGGCCTGGCCAAGAACAAGCGGGAGGATGTTGAGGGGTACACGGAGGGTGTTGAACAGGGCCAGGGACGAGAAGATCTCGGCCGGGCGCAGGCCAGGGTTGGTGAGAGAGTAGGAGATGAAGGACAGCATGGAGGCGAAGATGGGCATGGCGACGCCAATGGCGTTGATGGCATTCCTTATGGCCAGCAGGACCTGGATGGAGTGGATCTCTCTGCTCCTGTACTCACCCAGACGCTTCATGAAGGATTGCTCCCAGCCAAAGAACTTGACGAAGCGGACTGACTGGATGATCTCCTGGGTCAGAGACACGCGCTGGTCCGTAATCTTATTGATACTCTTGCGGCGGACGAGTAGGCGCCGAATGGCAAAGGCGAGGAGCGGGGCTGCGACGATAATCAGGCCGAAGCCGGCCAGGGCGTTGTATGACAGGTTGACGATGAGGAGGGCCAGGGTGAGGGCAATGGAGATGGGCGAGGACCAGAGCATATGGATGAGTGCCGAGGCCTGATCGATGCGGTAGGTGTCGACACTCATCAGGTTAGTGATGCGACCGTTTCCCCAGCCAGCGACGTCCTCCTCGGGTCTGACGGGCTTCTTCCTGTCCTTGGCCTTCTTTCCCGTCTCGCCCTCCCTGCTGTCCGGACGGGTCATCTCTTTAGGGTTACCGCCGGCCTTGGCGCGGGCCGAGATGAGCATTGCCTTTTCATAGATGAGACCGATGAGGATGCCACGGGACTGGCCGCCCATCATCATACCGCGGTAGATGAAGTGGTTGACTCCGAAACTCTGGAAGACCATCATGGCGGTGATGCCGAGGGCGAAGCCGATACCGTTCTTGATGGGCGGACTGGGCTGGTCGCTGTGTTGTGCGAGCCAAGCATCGGTGGCGAACTGGATGAGATATCGGAGGGTAAAGGGGGCGAGGACCTGGGCAATGGCAACGAAGGAAGCCAGGCTGGCGCCGAGCCAGAACTCGAAGAAGAATGTCTCGTGGAGTGCCATGAAGAGAGGATGCTTATCGCCTCTCGCAACACGCCTCTTGAACGAGGCCCTGAACTTTTCCGTCAATGGCTCGACAGCCCGATCTGGGTTGATGGCCCATATGTCGCGCTGATGCAGCTGGCGCTTGTAGCCAGCCTGCAGCAAGGAAACTGCGAGTCAGCATGCGTCTTCGACCGATACCGAGCGTGGCATCGGGTAGAGATGGGACAGCCATATCTCTAATATCTCTAGGTGCCGGCCATGCTGAGGAGGGCGAATGTTGTGCTTACCACCATCAGAGGAGTCATCCACTCAAACGTGATGAGACTCAGGATGTTTGCGCCATATTCCCTCGAGACGGCGCGCTCTCCCGGTATGGGAGGGGTCTTACCCCAACGCAGAGGGTTCAGCCTGCTGTACCATGACTTCTTGGCAAGCTTCTGGGAACTGTTGGTCTGCTGCCTCGTAGCAGCGCTGGTGTCGGACGCATGGCTGGCGCCGGTGACGACAGATGTCAGTGGTGCGGTGACAGGTCTGGTTTGGTCGACGACCGAGTCTTCCTTGGGATGCGACAGACTGGATGAGGCAGAATCACGGCATTCTATCTTTTCATATTGCCGGTCAACGTCTGAAAGCGCGTCGTTGCCGGGGCGTGTCTCATCGCGACTGTATGTGGGTTCAATGACGGCAGCGAGATCATCAGCGGGGTCGAGTTGCTGCTGCTGCTGCTGCTGCTGCCGCTGCTGGGACTCCCTGTCAGGAGAGCCTGGCATGGCCGGAGGAGGAGGAGGAGGAGGAGGAGAGATGACCGTCGTCTATCGCGAAAAGTAAAAGCGAGGAAATATGAAGGTATAGTGAGATGAGACTACAGTGTTGTCGGGAGATTTGAAGAGGCGGTGGTATTATTGGATTGGTAAGTTGGCTGGTCCGGTGGGTGGCGGCGGCAGTTTAAGAACGGTGACGGACCGGATTTCGTACACACAAATACGATACGAGTTCTACAAGCAGAGAGTGGGAAGGAACTCGGCAGTGACCTCCGAATCAACGGGAAGGGGCGAGTTACTCGTACATTAGTAATAATACTCTGTAGGTTTTGCACGGTGGGGATTCCGATAGGAAGAGAAGGGGAGAGAAGATCAAGAAGAGGCAAGAGAACAAGGAAGCAAAGACGAATATTCGATGAGAAGAGGTAGGGTAAAAGATAAAAAGAAAGCAAAAGCACGGAAGTCGGGTCTTGTTATATGCACCGCAAACAAATATGGTTTGATACGGATTATTGAATCGAAGCAGATGAAGTGGCACTCTTAGAGGAAGTTTTCTCTTTTTTTTCTTCTTTTTTTCTTTTTTCCCTTTTTTCCTTCTTTTTCTTGGTATGCACATCTATCTACTAGTACGAGTACAAATAGTGGTAATAGCTGCATTACATGCCACTGCGCGTAGAACACCCTGCTAGGTCCCTTCTACATGTACTGGTACATGCAGCATTAATAGAGGAGGTAACTGGTTGCGAACAACGGGATATCAGAGAGCGTCCGAGGTCTCCAATTCTGCATCCAATCCCCACCCTTAATCCTATTCCCAATCCCGTTCGACTCTTATCGGAATTCGTGGAGGCCGCAAAGCACAGACAGGAAGGTTACCCTTACAAAGCATCCCTCACTCCTCTGCACGCCAAGAGCGATAGCATAGAGGCATTCTCCTCACCGTCAAGGCTGCGTCATACACACGCGGACAATCTGAGCTGTCATGACTAGCGGGCAGTCTATCCATGACGCTAACAGTACGAGCAGCATCGTGAAGGAAGGAAGAAGAAAAAGCAGACTAGCAACTAACGGTAATAGAAGATGTTACCAGGTGGTCGGCCACATGTGGCAGGCTCCGGCTTCGATGGCGGTTTTGCCGTGTTGGCAGGTGTGTGGACTTTGGACAGATATTTCACTCTGGGCATATTCCACAAGTCGGCATCCCGTGTTTAAGTAGTACGGAGTATTTCCCACGGATAAGACGGCATCAGAAGGGGGAGGGGGAGGAGTGTTGGGGCATAGGGAGACCACCACACCTCGCTTAAAACAGCGTTCGTTTCGAGGAGACGCATGCCAGAAGATACAGAAGCACGGGTTGTTCTGAGAGTTCCCTGGGTTTACGAGTACAGGTCGTATTACCTGAGCAAGGGGGCCTTGTACCCTTTTCGGGCGGACTATCGCTCTTATGTCCGGTCAGCGGACAGTACCGAGACCCTTGGCATCGGACTTCGGTACACTAGTGGATCCGTAATTCTGGATTACCAACTTGCATCACGTGCAGCGACTCATGGCAACGTAACGTAACGTATCCATCCACCCCGCTCTAGTTTTATCGATAATCCTCCCTTCTAGATCATTATCGCTATCGTTATCGATAATCAATCCCGGGAGAAGAAAGAGAAGCAGGGAGGAGGGGAAAAAAGTTACCCACCAACCACCAGAGCAAAGCAACCGGATTCCGTTGTCAACCACCAAGCTCAAAGCTCAGCACAAGGTCAAGCGAAGCCATGGCTACAGAGAGCGCCATCCCCTCGACGGCCCTACCCGGCCACATTCTCGGCCCGGTGTCCCGCTACGCCCCCGGACCGGGCACCCATATCCACGGCTCCAACGTGGTGGCCTCCCTGATGGGCCAGGTGTCGGTGACGGCGGCGCCCAGGCAGCCCGGGCCGGCCAAGCGCCTCAACAAGATCACGCCGATCTCGGCGCCTACCGGACTGGCCACCGTCTCCGTGGCGCGGCACGGGCGTAGACGCGAGGTCCTCCCGGACGTGGGCAACGTCGTGCTGGCCCGCGTGCTGCGCCTCATGCCCAAGCAAGCCATCGTCGTCATCCAGCAGGTGGGCGACACGGTGCTCCAGACCGAGTGGCAGGGTGTCATCCGTGTGCAGGATGTCAGGGCCACGGAGAAGGACAAGGTCAAGATTCACGAATCCTTCAAGCCTGGAGACATTGTCCGTGCCAACGTGGTGAGTAGCTCTTCTCGACCCCAACAAGAAGAGGATGAGCGAGGAGGAGGAGGAGACTTGATTTGCTAACGCGGGTTTATTTTTTATTTTATTTCTTAAAAAAAAAAAGGTATCCCTCGGTGATCAAGCCAACTACTACCTCTCCACGGCTTCGAATGAACTTGGCGTCATCATGGCCACCAGCGAGGCTGGTAACGATATGGTGCCCATCAGCTGGAAGGAATACAAGGACCCCGAGACGGGAGCCACGGAGCTGCGAAAGGTTGCTAAGCCGAGCTGAAGCAGTGGCGAGCATTTGAAATTACGCGGCGGCTTCATCCTCTTACATATCCACAATACCAATCCGACGAGGTCCGCTCTCTCTGTGCGTCGGGAACGACGACGACCACCACCACACCACTCCCCTTGTCAGCCCGCCAAGCCATCGTCACGGGGGGTTAACAGATAATCGGATGCTTGGTCTGCCTGGTCTGCCATCTGACAATGGGGTTCACCTCTACAGGCCTATGGTAGAAAGCGGGCCGTGACATTTTAAGCTTACAAGCCGATGCCGGGGTCCCCTTTCACAAGGGGGGAGGAGGTAAGCCATGCTCCCAGACCAGGGGCGGCACGGGCTGCGCAGCAATCCCTCTGGGCTGCGCAGCAATCCCTCTGGGCTGCGCAGCAATCCCTCTGGGCTGCGCAGCAATCCCTCTGGGCTGCGCCGCTCGGCATTGAGGAAAAAGAACAGTCGGATGTTTCGTCATGCCCCGTGTACCATCGGCACCGAGTACGGGTACGCATGACAATAGCAGTGAAGGATAGAAGTAGTGCATGTATACGTATTACTATACCTGCGGTTCTCCGTATCGACAATATATGCCCCCCTCTTTATTGACAGACGCAACCTGATGACGAGACAAGGGAGAGAATCCCTTGTCCGTGCATATTGATTCAGAGTCTAGTACGGCCACGATGGTTGAGTGTTTGTACCGTGCCACGTATTATCCCACGGGATTGCCCTGGGGCTGCTGACGGTGTAGATGTACGAGCAGCAGATCAGAACGCGCTTTCATTGTATTGGCTGGCATGATTGGATTCACAATCTTTACGGCCAACAAGTCTCTCTTGGGGGGTTTTTTCTTTTCCTTCCTTATTTCTTCGTGACATCGGGTGCGTTAGTAGATATCCACAAGGGGATATCCACATTGGCAACAGTTCTTGTCCTGGGCTTGATAATGTATGTGCTTCACATGTAATCTGTACTTGTACGGAGTAGAGGTGGTAATAGTGGGAGCAGTGACGACGACCTGTTATTGTCATAGGGAGAGCCCACCTATAGTCTATAGAGCAAGGACCAGGG